AAACTTACTCTACGATTATCTGTCGCCATTTTATTAAACTTTGAACATTGGACGACGAAATGTTAGGACCTCTTGAAGTTTTGTCATTTAATTCAAAGTCCAATCAAATGGCGAAGAAAAATTGTTGCAGCAAATTTTAAGAGGTCGTAAAGGCGAGATTCCAATCTTAATTTATTTATAAAAAAAAAAAAAAAAAAAAAAATGTTTCAACGTCTTTCTAATTGAATTCGAATTCACGAATAATTTTACGAAATTAATGACAGTTGAAAATCGACATTAGCTCAGTCGTGGTCTTCGCTGTATGTAATGAAATTAACGTAACGAATTAAATTAAAAGAATAAAGTTGATCTGACTTCTGACTTCTGGCCTGGAAGAGGCTGAATTATAGAAATGATTGCCAATCATGTAAGGGTTGACCAGCAGGATGACGAGCAGACACGGCGGCAAAAGTGCTGGCGATCTCGTTTCGACATCGCCGTGTGCGCGAGAACTTACCAAGATCGAGGCAATGCCAGTTTTAGCGCCGATAAAATTCTCACGTTACGGTACAGTAAAACTACCGCAAGCCCGGTAACTTCTTTGCGAATGTGCACCGCACGGTCTACACAAAAGTTTTCCGAACAGCCGTCTGCGTGCCGGACGGCTGTTCACCCGTGCAATTTGCCTCGTGCTCGACCTTCTTTTTTATTCTAATGGGAATGGCAATGAGCCGTCGAGATTTTCTCACAATCTTGTCGCTCGTCCTTCGATTAACAATGATCGCCGATTAAACCTTGTTCAAATCAATTGACTTGGAGTTTACGTTCTCACACGAGCGTCAAAAGTTGATCTGGAAATTCAAAGTGTCCTTGATCCAAACAATATTCGAATTACATCGTCAATGTGCAGTAATAATTATTAGAGCATAAGTCGAATTTCAAATGGCAATGTCAATCATTTTCAAAAGCGTGATTATTTGAAGTGCAGAGACGTGCGTTCTTCGTTCTCACAAGAATTCTAGCTTCTATTCGCCAGAGGTATGAAAATTATTGCATAAGAAATATAATTTGGATAATTACCGAAAAAAATTGCCCGTTCGATGAAACGTAATTAGAATTAGAAAAAAAAAAAAAGAAAAAAATCGATGACGAGAGATGAATTAGTGTGAGCCAATCTCTGATTTTAATTGCTGGATTACCAATCTGGTGGATCTAACTCACTGGATAATCGTCAACGACTCGATCAGAGTCAAGTATATAACCAGCTTTAAGACAGTTAACCAGAGCCTGTGATAGCTATTCATGAGTCAGTGGTTAACGACATTTTGCACATCGTGAGCACGTGTTGCGAGTACCGCAATTGGGGCGCACGGCTTCGTAACTATGAATGTAAGAAACCGTACGTGGAATGCGCAAGAAAAGACTAATCTTTACCCACTTCCTGTGTCTTGTGGTTTGTTATTTAATCAGCACGGCTGATAAAATTCTTCAATCTTTTCTTTGTGCTCTACAAATTATCATGTACTCTAGTTTACAAGTCACTAACTTGATGATATGCACATTTGTCTTTGGCTTGTATTTGAGTTAGCTTGTAATTTCAATACATTAACAACTGTCTGTTGATTTATTCTCTTCTATTATAGAAACAATGGCCTAACACGCGATTCTGTGAAAATATTTGAAATAAATTCTTTTGTGAGTTGACTCGGCTTCTTTCAATATTTCTTCTACATTGGTGAATTCATTCCCTGTGCAAGAAAACAAATCGTGAAGAAACCCTTTTGTACTTATTATATTTTTCTTGCAAAAATCATTTTAATTCTATTTTCATCATTTATCGCAGTACTAAATGTCGCTGGAGGTAAAGCCCCCATGCAGTCGAGCAGCTCAGAGGGTGGAATTCCGCAACGAGCTGTCGATGGTAGCAGTGGACAAATTTATACTCCTCAAACGTGCACCCTTACAAGACCAGAGCACAGGCCCTGGTGGTACGTGAACTTACTTGAGCCTTATATGGTGCAACTTGTGCGGCTTGACTTTGGTAAACCATGCTGCGGTGAGTAATAATTATCTAGTGTATAATTAGTAATTAACGATTGAACTACTTTTTATGAAATAATGATTATTCATTTCATAAAATATTTTGAATTATTAACTAGCAAAATTTTACGGTATAAACAGAAATTTTATACGCAAGTAATATAAGGAAAATGCAGTAACAAGCATAGAAAGTAAACACACGACTTTGTGAAAATTTAATAAATTTGAAAATTATTCACAGACGATTGACCATCGGAAACGTATGCACGGTTTCTCGTTTAGCCTCGAAAGTTTTTTTTTTTTTCTCTCTCTCTGAAAAATGGAACGCGATCAAGTAGAAAAAAAAAAAACTGGTGGAAAAATCACTGGTTGATGAAAGGTGATCAGAGGGCGCGTAAAGAGCAGATATTTGGCGCGATCTAGTAGTTTTAATCCTTTTAAGACGATGGAACGCCACTTTCGTTTCAGTGGCGCGGCCTCTTGCAGACTTTCTATCGATAAATTGGCATCGCCAGCAATTACGGCCGTAATACATGGCGCTTTGCGAGCGAAAATTTTCGCGATCCAATACCCTGGAGGCGAGCGTAATAACGAACAAGGCGAGCATGAAATGCACCGTTAGCGTAAACGCCGCGCCGGATCGACACTTTCATTCATGCCGCTGTAGATTTTATCTTCTACTACAATTACCAGGCTATTGTGCCTCGCTACGGACGTGATTATCGATCATCCTTAAATTGAGAGGTATTCTAATGCGAGGGAAGTGTAATTGAAATATCACGAAAACGACTTGATTTGTCGAATTTATCGTTGTTGAACTGTATCGAGTGTTCAACTAAAATTATCACATAACAATCTAATACACAGTAAGTAAGAAATGAAAAATGCATTCATGGTAATTTAAAATTATAATTAAACTGATATAATTTCGTAAGAAAAGGATCTCTAATGATTGACTTTGACAGTTGACTTCATACTTTTCGAAGATGAGTCTGCGTCATGTAGCAAGTGGGAAAAATGTTTTAATATCTCATCCTCTTTGAACATGTTTGAAATTTATTTCGATTGTCTGTACGATACACTGTAGTATAATAAAATAGAAAATAATATAGTAGTATAATAAAATAAAAAAAAAAGAACGGACATAATATGATAAAAAAGAGGATTAAAGAAATGCATACGCTATTGCTCAATCGTCTCAGAACACTATTTGTCTTTAATATTCAATATTTACGGTGGATGATAAAATTTTTTAATAGCAAGTACATTTTATAATATATTCATAGATATTCGTTGCATGATGTACTATTTAATTTTTTTCAATTTTGAAACAGATATAGTAATTATCGCGAGACATTCGAGCGGTTATGTACATTCTGATTTCTTCGATCTTAGATTGAAAAATTGCATTACGATGCGAAACGTACTTGTTAATTCCAGTGTAGCAAAACGTGTTGGTTTTCAGGTAATAAAAACCAAAGCACGTAAAATGAAGATGTCAATTTGTTGTTGCTAATTTACAATAGCTCTAGTTCGTGTTAACTACGTACGCACAAAAGAACAATTGATCAGTTGAGTGAAATCATTTTCTAGCAATAAAAAGTGAAAAGACTTTTACTATCGTGCCGAAAAGTTTCTGAAAGTTTCTCGCGCGTGTATCAGGAGCAACAAGAAGAAAGGAATGGAAAATGACGCGCGGATTTTACGGCCCATTTAAATGACACGATATTATTTTACGTGTTCTATCGCTACGATTGATCATACTTTTCAAGTAGAAAGTACCATTTAATTACCATAAAATACGTTTTTCAACAGTGAAACGAATTTTACTAAATGTTGCAAGAGAATTATCTTGTTACTTATTTCTTTAAAAAGTCACGTTTGAAGAATTGTTTTTATTAGTTATTTGTTGAAAATTTAAGTTATTTACTTTATATGTAAAGCATTATCTTCTTTTTTTTCATTGTTTAATCACAACATTTGCTATTAGACTGCTGACGTTTAGTAAACAAATAATAACGAATAATAGGAAAATATACACGAAAAATGAGTAATAAGTATCAAATTTTGAGCAACTTGTTGCGACATACACTGAGCAGTTGCATATTAGTGCAATATTATCACTTTCTCTATTTGATATCAACCGATAGAAAATAGATACTGTTGGAAAATAAAAATGATATTATTACATGTACATATAAAGACGTATCGTTAGTGTCACGTAATCGTTTGATAGTTTTATTGAAATGGTATAAAATATAAAAGCAACACATAACAAAATCTCTGAAAAAAGAAATATGCATATCGCACATGTGCATATAAAAATATCCATTTGCTTACACATCCACAGTCCATTTATTATGAAAGCAAATTGCTACAATTTTTTTTTTTTTTGAATTATTCAGCATCTATTATTATACTTCCGATGATGATTTTCGATTCTGCAATATTGCCAGAAATTTCCTTTACGACGAGTCTTATTAGAGTTTTATTATTTTAATAAATAATACTGACGACTAATAATACTATTAACTAATAATACTACTTAATAATAATACTAACTAATAATACTACGACGGTTCCATTTATTTTGCCGCTTGTTCTACAAGTTCCGCCTTGCAATTTCATCGCTCTAAAGGATAGATTTGTTTATTGTTAAATGTAATGGCGGTCTGTACAACCGATTAAACAAGGGAAAACTTTCACCATTAAAACGAAATGCTTGATAATGGCGCCAGACGTGTTGCTTATATACGGAAATAAAGAGTGAGAGTAGTTTATCGCTCTGTTATTCTTGGAAAGAATTTGCTGCTCTCTTCCTTAAAAAAATAATTTTCATCCTTTCACGAGGCAACAGTCCGTGCATTAGACCAGCCGTATTGTATAATAACGCGTTAGGAGTAGTTTATCAACAATTAAATGTAATTTTCGAAAATTATTTTGTTATTCGTTTCCTGCTTTTTCTTCAACTGATATTTCTTAACTTAAATTAACGTTGACTATTTTTATTTATACTTTATACTTTATTCTCGTTCATTTACTAAAGATAGATTATAATAATAAAGTAGATGTAAGAAAAGTATAAAATGCACACTAAACTACTTAAAGATCTTTGATGATGTTTCTCACAGATTTTTTTTTTACATTCTGTGATGAGTTTTTATAAATATAAAAAGTTTTATTAATTTTTATAAATTTATTTATAAATTTACATTTTATTTAATTTTATAAACTAGAAATAGGAATATTTTTATTCTCCAAAAATTACAAAAGAAAATTCAAACATCTCCGAAAACATTGAAAAGTTTTTTTTTTTCTCTACTAGATCCACCGTGGCCTTGAAGATTAAAGTCTCCCCTTTACAAATAATTCTTGAAAACATGCTACACGATTTTTTTAAATCACTTTAAATGTCAGAATTAAATGACAAAAATTCAAGAGACTCTAATGTTTCGTCGTCTAATTCTAATGTTCAGAGTTCAATGAAAGTGCTGAAAAAATTAGCGATGGAAAAAAAAAATGTTTAATGTTTTCGAATTTTTATAATTCAGTTGAATTTTTCGTAGCCTTATTTTCGCTTTTTTCAAACATCTTTGTTACATGATTCTTTCTGAAACGAATACGTTCTAAAGTATCGACAATTTTTCATCGTTATTCGTTCAATTACGTTCTTCACTGCAAAACTCTATTAATTAATCTCAACTTTTTTGTCAGCTGCCGTATACTTAAAACGGACTTCACTCGCGTACTATAATCAAGAAAGTCGTTCGTTTCACACTTGCCAATGCAAGAACATACACGAGCCTTGTGATGAGTTATTCCAAAACGATGGCATCGTGTTCCTTTCCGTTCTGCCGGAAACGCGAGCAGGTTCGTGGTGAACGATAACCGATCTCGTTCGTAATTAAAACGGCCTGTTAACAGGCTTGCTATCGGTACGACGTCGCGTGAAAGTTGCCTCTTCTTGTAAAATATATCAATCAATTTAATTACGTTCGCCGGCGAAAACGCCCAACACTATCGTCACGTACGTTCAATATTAAACTGAATCGTGACTGAGGATCGCTTTTTAAGAGAGAGACGTTTTCCTAGAATCGTGTTTTTTGTTTGTTAGGATAACACGCAATTTGCGCATGCATAACAAAAACTTAACGAAAGTATAATCTTGGTGGAATCTCGATGCATGTTCGTTAACGATTCATATGCCAGCGGTCGGGATTTTAGATTAGGTTAACTGTAGTCAGTTTTCGAAACATTCACTCTCGTCCAGAAATCTTAGGACATTTTCTATTTTTAATATTTAATAACACTTATTATTTTGTATTTAATATTTCTCATAATTATTATTATTAATATTTAATATTATTGACGATCCAATTTTTCAATCACACCTTACAGGTACGATTTGTTAATGTATTAACAATATTAACAACAGGTACTTATTCTTTGTTGTTGTAATATATTATTTTAGAATTTTTCCAATTCTGAAACAAATGTAATATTTATTTTAAGCTTCTTGAGGTACCTTAAATTTAAAACATTATAACAAAAAACATATCTCCAACAATATTTCTGATAAATTTTGCATTAATTATGCATTTAACACTAAACGTACCAAGCGGGGTCAAATGACCCCTTTTCAAAAT